CAGGCAGTCCTCTCAACCGTAACGAATGTCCGTGGCATGGATCGTTGTTAGAATCTAAAGGTTATTTTACTTCGTCTGGCTGTACCATCTATTTTCCTTGTATGTGCAATGATACATGTAACAAGTTGTACTTGTTCTGTCGACGCAGGCACCAGAAGGGGAGACGCAGCCCAGTACAGAGGTGGACTTGTTTATCTCGACAGAGAAGATAATGGTACTGAACACAGATCTGAAGGTGTGTGTTAACAACACTGTATTAAAAAGCACAGTTGTTTTGGTGTAGATAATTAACTAACTGCATGGGGCAATTGATAGTAATGCAGCTGGTTAAGAAATTCTGTGCTCTTGTGGATCCTAAATGTTTATTAACATGTTCACAACATCAGACATTGGTGGATCCTGTCACGAGTCATTTGAAGCCTGTTCATGTTTTCACACCCCATTGCACTAAAGTCCATTTTAATATTATTTTCCCATCTGTGCCTAAGTCCCTTAGGTGATTTCTTCCCTTCACATTTTCTAATTTGATATAAAAGATTTGTCTGTACAGCATTCCTTGTTTAACTTGGCTTGCAGGAAATCATGATGGACCACGCGCTGCGCACCATATCATATATAGCAGACATAGGTGACCTGGTGGTACTGATGGCACGCAGAAGGTTTGTACCTCACGATGTGGAAGAAGCCCCAAAAATCAACCGCACACCCAAGATGATCTGTCACGTGTTTGAAAGTGAAGAGGTGAGGGAACAAGTGAGCAGCAAATGATCATGCTCCTGACTGCTACCAGGACACGTCTAAAGGGCGTGCGGTTGTTACAGGCACAGTTCATTGCACAGTCGATTGGGCAGGCATTCCAAGTGGCGTACATGGAATTCCTGAAAGCCAATGGAATTGAGGACCACAGCTTTGTGAAAGAGATGGACTACCAGGAGGTACTGAACTCACAGGAGATCTTTGGAGATGAGCTCCAGATGTTCGCTAAGAAAGAGATGCAAAAGGAGGTCAGTGCTACATCTGATTGTTCATACAGGTCACCACATATTAGGGTAGTGAAGTGAAGGGGGTTATTTCTGATGGGCTGGAAATGTTGCTTGGGTTGGAGAGACAAGAAATATTTTCAGAATTTCAGTGAGGAATCCTCTCTGAAACAGCCATTTAGTACATCTAGATGGACATTTGGGATGATACTAAGATGAATATTTGGGAAATGGTTTGTGAGGATCAGTGGTGGATGGAACTGGCTGACCATCACGTGCAGTGCCTGTTTCATTGAAATGGTGACCACAGAATTTTCACGGAAGATTATTTCATTCATAAAGGTAGCAGCTTTTAGGTTTTATGCTTGTATGCTGCCTCATAAACTGTGTGTTGAGTCTCAACCATTGTGAATGTACTAGTTGTCATTGTGGTGATTGTTTTTCAGGTCGTGGTGCCCAAAGCGAAGGGCGAGATCCTTGGTGTCGTGATTGTTGAGTCTGGCTGGGGATCCATGCTTCCAACTGTGGTGATTGCCAATCTAGCCCCATCAGGGGCAGCAGCTCGTTGTGGGCAGCTCAACATTGGTGACCAGATCATCGCAATCAATGGTGTCAGTCTTGTGGGCCTTCCCCTCTCCACATGTCAGAACTACATCAAGGTGTGGGATGATTTGTTTGCTTAAGCAGTGGGAACGGAGGTCATCATCATCAGGCCATCTTTCGTATCAGATCAATTGATTTTCTATCCCTAAAGCTTTGAAAATTAAATATCTATGATTGTACATCGAAGTTAAACGTTTTCATTGGCGTGCTCCCTGATGCAAAACAGATTTGTTACCCAGCAGCCCCGAGGATGAGTGCAGAGATTGTTCTCGAAACGTTGGCAGAAGATATGGTTTATTCGCCGTTCAGCTACCTGATGTGGCTGGTAACCCGAGAATCTTTCATCAACGTCAGTTGCCGCGAAAGCTTCACTTTATACAAGCCATGTAGATGCTAAATAGAAATAAAACAGTGTTTTGAGTTGTCAATTGTTAATAAATGGTAACATTATGCCTGTGAATCTGTAATACAACACTGTCTAGAATTTGTGGGTTGAAACACACACACACATGAAGCCGATGGCTGCCAACAGTCCGGTCAAAGCTTGTCAAACACAACCTGGAGCATAAAGAGTATGAGGGCAGTTGCTTTGATTGTAATTGTTACAGAACACCAAAACTCAGACAGTGGTGAAGTTGACTGTGGTGCCATGTGCTCCAGTGGTGGAGGTGAAGATCAAGCGACCAGACACCAAATACCAGCTCGGCTTCAGCGTGCAGAATGGAGTGGTGGGTGGTAACTTTCTGTGCATGTACAGCTGTGACTGTGTCCTGCCTTACGTCAAATCAAGTTGTGTAGGTGCATGCTGAGGAGATTGGAAGCTGACAGATCATAACACAGGACTCGTATATTTTAAAATTTCAACAGCTTAAACCTTTCGTTGCTATGTTTTGAAGTGAGGAGCCCTTTTTTTAAAAGGTTGAAGTGTAATTTCCCCCCTCAGATTTGCAGCCTTTTGCGTGGGGGCATTGCGGAGAGAGGTGGTGTG